TAGTAGTAGTAGTAGTAGTAGTAGTAGAAGAAGAGAGAGAGAGAGAGAGAGAGAGAGAGAGAGAGAGAGAGAGAGAGAGAGAGAGAGAGAGCACAAATGTGAGATGAATGGTCTATGAAAGGTATTTAAACTATTGCTATTTTTTCTTTCTGCTGCTGCAGAATGCTGGCTTTGGAACCTTGTTTACTACTATATTTAAGGAATTAACTAAGTCACAGTGTGGTAGCATCTTAGCTACAGTTGGAAGAAAAAAACTAGTTTCTTCCACTGAAAAGAAATCTGTAGTTTAATTTGTTTCCCCCCCAGATGATGCCTGTAGAATCCCTTACCTAGGAAGCAGAAGGGAGAATTGTATCTGTTCCCTCTCCAACTTGATCCAGCAGGAGAGACTGAATCTGTCAGCTACTTTCTGACAATTGGTTGCTATTAGGCTCCATCCAGCCCAGCTGTGACTAATTTGAGGGGTTACAGGTGCAGCAAAAATCAGTCAGCAGAAACAGAGGCAGCATGGGTATGCACTTCAACAGAAGCTTTGGATTTATTTCAGACAAGAACTCCAAAGGAGTAGGATGATAGAGATTAGGAACCAGTAGAAATCTTAGTAGCTGAAGTTAAGAGATTGGAAGTGCTTAAATATTTTGGAAACTGCAGTCCATGGTTAGACTTTTTCTTTTGACCATATATAACTGTTTGGTTTTATGCATTCCGTCTCCATTTTCTCCGACTACTCATTTTGCAAGCCTACTCCCTTAGTGGAGTAATGGGAAGACAATGTGGCCCAATGGATAGTATACAGGTTTCCAGAGATGTGGGTTTCTATTCCTGTCTATGCTATTAGCCTGTTGGGTGACACTGATCTGGAGAAGTCACCTCTGTATTGCAGTTTCCAAATCTGTACAATGTGGGAAGGGATGCTTACCTCCTTTTTAAAATACTTTGAGATGTACAGATGAAAGGTACTATATAAGAGCTAGATGCTGTTATGATAAATTATTTGTTTCTTGTAACTCTTGTATACTAGGTACTTCATGAATGCAAAGGAATGAATAGTAGAAGCACAGAGGAGCTCACAATCAAACTCCATATAATAAATAAATAAATCATTAATAACTTGTTAAAAGGGGAATAAGACCCTGTTCACCACTTCAAATAAGCTACGAAAAAGCAGAACACTGTAAAAGTTTCAGGTAGGAGCCCTGATCCCACTGAAAATTATGACAACTAATCAAGGCCACAAACCTTAGATCTGGTCCAACAAGTAGCGGTGGATATAAAGATGGTGTTTGTACAGTCCACACACACTTCTTTCTGGTAGACCTCCCTACCTGTACCCTCTCTCAGGTGTTCCCCTCCCCTCCTTTGCTATTTTCAGGCAACTGTTGCTGGGGCCTACTGTCTCCTCCCAGTATATATCATTGAAATACTAACTGAGGGGATGTAGAAGGCTGGAGTGTCCCTGGGGCTCATGGAGGGAAAGAGTATTGCTGGTACCAGGCCTTCATATGTCATCAGTCTGCCCCACCCCCCCAAAAAACCCAAAGTCATAAGACTGGCTTAAAAATCATGAGCTATTAAATGATGTGGGGATGGGTTCTGCTATGAGCCTATAGGGAACATTCTGGCATTTTTTTTTCAGGCTTTACTCTGCCACCGTGAAGGCTAGAAACTTACGAGGGGGAAAGAAAAGAGAACTTGAGCTGAGATTCTCATGTAATACAATAACACCGGGAGCTGGGGCTTTCTGGAAAAGACTTGTAATAAAACTGAAAGAATTGGTAAAAATGTGGAAATGCTGAGTGTGGAAATGACATCCCAATGACTGAGACAAGAGCTCCCTTTCCATTTGTGCGTGTTCATGTCAGGCTGAATTTTCATCTTGAAAGACACACGCACAAATGATGCCAGGAAGCTTCTCACTAAGAGTTCAAAACTCAGATGCCAAACACCTGCTTCCCTCCCTCTCTCTCTCCTCCTGGAATATGGTGTTTTTTTTAACCACATGCCTTTTAAGACAATGTATGATTGGTGGGAGATTTCTCTCATGATTTTTGAATTCCTGAGTAGGACTGAGCCCAATTTTTTCAACTCTGTCCAGAGGTCAGCAGTACTGTGCTAGCCTCCCTTGTGGTTACTTCACAATGGCTAGGCTACTGGTGTGCAGAGACGACTGTCTGCCATGCTGCCCAATATTGTCTCATTGTTTCCTTGTACTCTGCCATCTGTTTATAACAACATGTGGCCTTATGCTTGGATTGTAAGGGGGCAGGACTGTCTTTTTTCTCTGTGTTTGCATAGCAGCTAGCACAATTTGGTCAGAGAGTGGGATTAGCTCAGGGATCAGCAACCTTTGGCACGCGTCTCACCAGGGTAAGCACCCTGGTGGGCCGGGCCGGTTTGTTTCCCTGCCACGTCCACTGGTTCAGCCGATTACAGCTCCCACTGGCTGCGGTTTGTCGCTCCAGGCCATTGTTTTTGTGTTTGTTCTTGTTTTGGGGTTTTGCAGGAGCGGTGAACCGCGGCCAGTGAGAGATGTGATCGGCCGAAC